AGCCCCCTTTCACAAGAGAGGCGTTGGCGGCCCCTGTGAGTTATGACTTTTATTATGCAGAAAACAGGCACATTAACTTCAGGTCCTTTGAAAAATGTGGTCCTGTAATCAGAGGCTGTGTCTGTCCTGATGCACGGTGGCACCAGGCCAGAGAAGTGCAGGGATGAAATAAACATTTAGAAAGACAACTGCATTTGCAGATCTAAGAATTGAGTTATATTCATTTCTGACAGCTTCCTGAATCACAGCCCACGTCTCCGCCCGGCAAAACTGGGACCTGGCCCTTTAACTAGACTCCATTTCACATAATTAAAGACTCACAAAATTAAATGGCCTGCATGGAAAGTGGCTTTCAGTGGACTAAATGCCGGGAGCAATCTCCTCGCCAGAGTGGAGAAGTGACACTAGCTTGCAGATCAATATCATCTCTGTTATTAATATCAAAAGCACATTACTTTGTTTTTGCCTGGCTCCCCTCCAAGCCTCTGGCCCCGCCGCGGAGCAGCCATTTGCTCAGGCCATAATTTACTTTGGTGAGTTTTTAAGGTATTGTTTTGTCAGGACCAATCACCGTGACGTTATAAATGGCTGGGAGGACTTGCACTCCCCCTCAGTGGCATATGCAGCGAAATTAATTTTTAAAAGTTTCACGTCAATTACTTCTGTCCTTGAGTTATGCAAGGGGACAAAGGAGCAGAGACGTAAGGACGTGAGTGATCTCAAACAGATGAGGTAACGACACACAGAAGCCGGGGCTGCAGACCAGAGCAGACATTACACTATCTTTAATTGATGCATTGAATTAAACAATGCTAAAGCCAAATAAATATTGACCACTTAGCAAAAGAACCATTGATTTTTATGATGGACAACAATGCCATCCTCCACTTTGCTGGTTGGGGGTTTCAAGCTGGGGTCTTGTCGGTTCCAGAACCACTTGGCTGGGCTACGCTGAAAGATGCCATAGCTCTTTGGTGGGACTTGGCCAAGTGGGTAGAAATGTTTTCACAGCTTCTTGATCTGTCTGGCTTGTCTTCCCTCACTCTGGTCTGCCCGTGTCTTCCTCCTTTTGTTTGCTCTTCCAGAGACCCCAGGCCCTGCCTTGCTCTGCTTCAGTGTCAGCAGCCAGGACAGAGGCACAAGCCATCCTTTCCACAAGGGCCCCACGTGTCCCCTGTCCTCCTCCTGCCCTGCCTCCCCCGGCAGGCTGTCCCAAACCCCGAAGCCCTGGCTCTCATTCAGAGGATGTTTAGGGCAGTGAAAATACCTGCGTGGTACTCTAACGATGGATACATGACATTATACATTTGTCCAAACCCACAGAATGGACAACACCAAGCGTAAATCCTAATGTAAACGATGGACTTTGGGTGATGATGATGTGTCCATGTAGGTTCATCAACCGTCACAAATGTACCATTCTGGTGAGGGGTGTTGATAACAGGGGAGGCTGTGCACGTGTGGGGCAGGGCTGTATGGGAGAGCTCTATACTTTCCTTTTGATTCTGCGTGAACCTAAAAATGCTCTAAAAAAAAATAATGTATTTTTGTTTGTTTGTTTAAGAAGAAAAGTGGCTGACTTTCAACCCTGAGCACAAAAAGCACCTCTCACATCCTGCTCTGCCTGAAAATCAGGGCAGGGAGGGAGAAGGAGGAAGAGGGACCCAAGAAGATCAGTGTCCGGAAAAAGAAAGCGATCTCCAACTTACAGAACCTCCAGGATGCGTCTGACGCCATACCTGACATGGTACAGACATTATCTTCAATTCTCTCGGAGACCCGAAAGGTGGGTGTTTCAGGATCAGACTTGAAGATGGACATTGACTTAAGGGGTGGGTGTCTAAAGCCTGTGGCCTTTAGATGCGACTCCTTCAACCTCACCAACCGCCGCGGCCTGTGGATCTCTACCCAAAGCTTCCACCATTCTCCCACTAGAACGCAGGCTCCAGAAGGGCAGGGCCTTGTCTGTTCTTTTCTGCTGTATCCCCAGGGCCTGGCACGGTACTTGCACATGGTAGGTGCCTGGTGACTATGTGTGGAATGAATGAATATTACAAGACAGGCCGTGGGAGGTAAAAGTCAACATCATCGTTTGAGAGGGATGGGTCACCATTTGGCACCCTGTCACACAGAGCCACCTGCCAGGCTGCTTTCAACCTGGAGGGGTGAAGCAAGGAATGAGTCGGGTCGCAGCTGTGCTCATGCCAGGGAGACTCTTCGGCTACCTGCACTGGGCTTTAGAATGAGAAAATCTGGCCTGGCCTCGAAACCTCCCATCCCGTTGGGCTCTGAGATGTCCGAGCAAAGCGAAGGAGGGATTGAACCAGAGTCGGGACAGGTCCTTTTTCTTGTTTCTCTACTCAGATGGCAGAGGCCAAGGAAGGAGTAAAGGCAGTCGGCAGTCCAATTGGGTCACTGGGCTTTGGAGAGTTGCCTGGCATGTAGTATGATCCCCATTTCACAGATGAGGAAACTGAGGCTCAAAGAAGCTAAATATGTTGTCCTTAGCATCTTTGCCCAATAGGCAAGAGACAACTACACATTTCAGTTATCCAGTTGTTTCCCTGTATCTCAAAGCTGGGCTTTGCAGTTATCAAGTATGCAGATCTTAGGACAGTTTTTAGCATTTACCCGGAGGCCGCTAGGCCTTGCACATGTAGCCCAATCTGTGCCATGCCCACAGGACTGCCCTCTGTGGGCACTTCTTGGAGACTGTGGTGTGTAGGCTGCTTGAGCAGGATGAGCGTGCGCTAGGTGCCCCCCTGCAGTGCCCACCTCCCACCCCACCCCAGCCTCTGTCTAGGCTACACTCTCTGCATGGTGGGAGCAGGGGCAGTTGAGTTCGGTAGAGGGAATTCTGGCCTGGGCGTGCCAAGGGCTCACCCATTCTCCCATCAACAAGCATTGATACCTGCTCTGTGACAGGTGGGGGCCGGACTGGAGAGGCTTCAGCAAATGAGGCTGCTGGGCCCTCATCCAGCTTACATTTGGTAGAGAACGAGACACTGCATTGTTTCAAAATTATTTCATTTTTATTTGCATAAATCTAAGGAAGGTAGCTTTAAAATGCGCTCCTAGCTTAATAAGAAAACACACAGTCCTTCCATACCAGGAACTGGTATGGTTAATTAGAGCCAATTCAGGATGCCCACACAACATCCAGTGACACACACAGGTTTACAACTGTAAGCTAACCCAGTGCTTACAGGGTGTGTTCTAACAAAAGTAGTCTTTGAAGCACAGGTATTTACAAGAGGTATTTTAACAAATGTATTCTTCTTTAACAAGCATTCATAGTCTCAAAGTAACAAAGAAACAGACCTTGAGAGACAGCTATTCAGATTTGGACTATCACAAGTCATTGCTGCTTTTAGTAAATACTTAGAAACCTAACCTCCAGGTGTCAAAATTCCCAGTAAGTATAAATTTCGTGTAAACATTATGTTGCCATACTTCTAATTTTATTATCTATTTAAACAAAGGGTGCTTGCTCATCTAGTGCTTTGTCAAGGACTTGGGTGCTCAAAGAGCTCATCAGCCAGAAGGGATCTGTCAGGCGCCCACACTGGGTCGGGCTGTGTGTGGGACCCTGGCTCTCAGAGCTAAGACAGCCACAGTCTGGGTGCTTCAGAAACATTTGTCCAGTGGGGAGAGGAAACAGAAACAGACACCCTGGTGTCTGGAGCTGGGTAATGGCAATGAGAATGTGAATGTGCCCTGCCTGCACGGGCGGGGGAAGGAGTTACACAGAGGGTATCCAGGAGCTGAGCCCTGAAGAGCGAATTGGAAAACTACAGGGAAAGGAATTCTTGGCAAAAAGATTTGCAGGTGCAAAGACCTAGAAGTTCAACAGGATACAGTATATCTGGAGAAGAGTGTGGTGTGGGTTAGAATTTGTGGCTGTCTTGCTAATCTACTCTCTGTTCTCAACATGGAAAGCAGAGTGATACTCCACAAATGTAAATCAGGCATGTCTCTCCCCTGATCCCATCCACTGAGACCCTCTCGTTGCATTTATAGGGTAAAATCTAAAGCCTGACCATGGCCTACAAGCCTCTGCATGATCTGACTGCTGCCCACCTCTCCTCCTGGCCGCCTACCACTCTGCCCTTTACTCTCCAAGCTCCAGCCTCATTCCTGTTCCCTGAGCTGGTACAGCTATTCTTCCCTCAAGACCACTGCACTGAGTGTGGGATAGTCTTCCTCCAGACCTTCCTTCAGTTGGCTTCTTCTCATTAAAATATGGGTTCAGATGTCCCCTCTTTGGAGTAATTTCCCTACATGTTAATCAAAGCACACACGCGCGCACGCGCGCGCGCGCGCGCGCACACACACACACACACACACACACACACACACACACACCCTCAGTCACTTCCTGTCACACCAGCTTGCTTTACTGATATCAGGGAACATGTCACTCTCTAAAATCATCTTTTTTATCCATTTGTTTGTGAGGACCCCCATGAGGACAATGGCCTGTCTGCTGTGGTCCTAGCCCCTAGATCAGTACCCGGAATATACTAGGCACTCAAAAACATTTGTTGAACGAATACATGAATAAGTAAAGAGCCTGAAGAAGTCCTTAGGTTCCAAATCTTGGAACATTTGAGAGGCCCAGACTGTGGGGAGGAAGGGAGAAGTCCTTAAAAGATGGATGCAGGGACAGAGGCTGGTTTAAGAGCTTTAGATCAGATCCCAGGGGGGCCTGATTCATCCATCACAGGCTGGCAGCAGGCAGCTCCCCACTTCCCTGATGCACAAAGGAGGTGAGTGGGCCTGGCCCTGGGAGAGAGAAGAGGGAGCGTGGGTGGCGATGATGGGGACCTTGGGGAGCAGCACACAGCCTACCAGTTCCTTTCCTACCTTGAGCATCTCTTCAACCTGGGGAGGTGGAGTTAGGACTGAACTCTGCCTGAGGCCAGAGAGAATTTAGGACTACCTCTGGTCAGACAGAAATGGTCATATCCTTGAACCTTGCTCTTTTTTTTTTTTTTTACAAGCACAGAGTTTAAATTTTCAAGACGTTAAAAAAAATCTGTCCCGGCCCAGGGGACTGAACATCAGAAGCCAGCCTGACCAGGCACATGTGGCCTTTGGGGCAGGTCCACTGCTGCTTTGTTGCCAGCTAGCAAGCGCACCACCCACCTCCCACATCTAATGCCCACCCCCAACCCAGTTCCCCTCCGCTGCTTCCGCTGCTGCCGCTCTGAGAAGTAACTCCAGGACGCCTTTGCAGAGACACCGGGGAGCCTGAGGGGGAAGGCCTCGAGATCCAGTCAGATGGTTTAAAAATTCTTGAGGAACTCCTCAGCCACGATGCGGGCGCGGGCATTGACTGACAGCTTCATCTCACTAATCTCCTTGTCGATCTCCTCCATGAAATGGATCACAAAGTCCACCAACTTGTGTTTGTACATTTGCTCTGTGTGGAAGTTGGTGATCAGAAAACTGATGTCATACCCCTCTACCGGTTTCCTTAGAAGGATAAAGAAGTTCTCTGCTCGCATCATCATGAAGCGCATAAACTTGTGGCATAAAATCTTCTCAATCTCATCAGCCTGTTTCACAGCAATGCTGACCCGTACAAAGTTGATGGAGCCCTCAATCAGAACTTTTTCCTTCTCATTCCTGCTGATGGTCACAGGTTGTAACAGGAGCTCTTTGCTACTCCTGACTTCCACCTCCGGCTTGTTGTGTCGTTCCACGACCTGGGAGGAGAAATTCTCCAGGCAGAGGGCAGCCTGCAGTGTGGCCCGCACGGCACTCAGGTAGGGGTGGAGAGTGGCAGTCATCGCGGGCGCTGGCTGGGCCGGAAAAACGAACCTTGCTCTTTCTTGTCTTCATGCTGTTCCCTCCGCTGAGAAGACGATTCCCCATCGTTTATCTCGCAAATCCCTACTCATCCTCCAAATGTCAGCTTAGAAATCACCTCTTTTAGGAACCTTTCCCAACACTCTCTGCCCCCTGCCAGGCTGGACTTGGAGATCTTTCCTTATTAAAGCAATTTTTGGGCTGGCCAAGTGGCTCCGTTGGTTAAGAGTGCCAGCTCTGAACAACAGGGTCACCGGTTCAAATCCCACACTGGCTGGTTGAGCTGCGCCCAAGCTGAGCTGCTGCTGAGCTGCCAACAGGTGGCAGGATGGCTCAGCTGGTAAGAGCACATGTTCCTAATAACAAGGTTGCCGGTTCGACTCCTGCATGGGACGGTGGGCTATGCCCACCTGCAACTAAGATTGAACACAGCACCTCGAGCTGAGCTGCCCTGAGCTGATGACAGGCACCCAGATGGTGACTGGACTTGGAGCTGAGCTAGCCACGCCCTCCACAACTGGGATTGAAGGACAACAACTTGGCTATTCCCCTTCCACAATTCCCCAATAAAATCTTTAAAAAGAAATAAACAATAAATAAATAAATAAAGCAATTATCATTCTGTATTATAATTGCCCACCTCTGGAGTCACACACACCCAGCCTTGAATTTCAGCTTAGCCAACTGTGGCTCAATCTCTTTAAGCCTCAGTTTCCACATCTACAAAATGGGGGGGAAATATATACTCTTGCAAACATGTTGGGAGGGTTATTGCACACGGTACTGGTAGCTGGGGGATAATAGGTATTTAATAAATAATAGGTATGATAATAATAAGGAAGAAAACTTTTTGAATCTACCCCTAGATGCCTAACAGAGGGGCAGCTGGGCTGGGGTTAAAAAAAAAACAAACCAAAACAAACAAACAAAAAACCCGCTGGACTTGGAATCCAAAATCCTGGCCCTGCCACTAGGAGAGTGATGGGAGTAGGTGTCAAATTCCCTCTTCACTTCAATTCCTCCTCTGTAAGATGGAATTTCTAATACCTTCTTCATGGGATTGTTGTGAAGATTAAATTGATTCAATCACTTTCAACTATGTAACTAGCACCTAGTGTGTGCCTAGCCCTGGGCTCAGTTCTAGGGTTGGACATAAGGTAGACCAAGTCTGATCCTTGTACTCCCGGGGCGTAGGGTGGATATTAGACTGGCCATGAACAGTATAGTTCATGCCTGCTTGCATTCAGCAGTATTTAGTGACCACCTACTATATGCCAAGCTGGGCACAAAAGAGATAAAGCTACTGCCCTAATAGTATTAAAAATAATTGCTAATATTCACTGAGCATTGATTGCATGACATTGGGCTAAAGTTTTTTAAGCTTCCTAAACCACGGGCATAACTAGCAGCTGCCTTAGAGGGTGGCAGCAAGGAGTATACGTATTAACACACACAAAACTCGGAGCAGAGGTGCTGGCACCTCGGAAGTCGTCAGCATATGAGAGCCTTAAGTCTATCTATTAGCTCACTAGGCTGCAGCCTTGTGTTTAGAGCTTTACATGTTTTATCTCATTTAATCATTTAATCTGGGGCGATAAGCACTAAGATACTACCCGTGAAATCACCTATAAACTTAAAAGCCTTTACACTTGTGAGTATTTGTTAATGTTTCAGGGGGCCAGCCGAGGACTGTGATATGGGATGGAGCAGTCAGCGTGGGGTGAGATCAGTTAGAAATGCTTCAGGAAAGTGAGCCTGGAGGGGGTGGGGGGCAGCGGTGTGAGTGGGGCTGAGTATGGGGTTGGGGGGGCAGCTTCTCTCCTGCAAACCCCACCACTGGGGCGTTTCAGCTACTGCAGAAGGCCAGATTCAAACAGGGCAATTTAAAAACATGTAAAAGGCATAAAGCGAGAGCAGCTGTGCACAGCTGCCGCCGAACGCTCCATCGCTGCCTCGCCGTGGACTCTAAATGACAATAAACCTTCCACCCCTTATAAATTAAGCAGACTTTCAAAAAAACCATATCTCCTCCTGCAACTTTTTATGGCTGTTTGGCAACTTTAATCATTTTGCAAAATGCAATTCCTGGCCATAAATTCTCTCCCAAGTACAGATTTAGGGAGATCTAGAGGACTGCGGCGGGTTGATAGGTAAGTTTTAATCTGACAAGGCCAAAAAGTCTATTAGATTTATAGGGAGGCAGCAGATACCCTGTAATTACACCAGGCTCGACCTCCAGGGAATCTCGAATGTGAGGGGTTTGGGGGGGAGAGAGTGGGAAGGCAGCAGCTGGGGCAGCAGCAAGGGCAGATGGAAACCCCCTCCATGTGCCAGCCCCTGGCCCTGGCCTTTGGGTCACAGGCCATGGTGATTTCCTGCAAAGGTGCAAAGACCATGGGTTCCGAGCCACTGGAGCCCGTGATTGATGCGCATGCACACACGCACACACATCTACACACACCCTGTGCCTGTGGCATGGCTGGCGCCTGCAGAGAGAAACAGAACTCTTTGGAAGGAGGTCACGTACCCCTGAACAGGGTAGAGAGTGAGCGAGAAGGCACTGGATTTTATTCAATGATGCACTCAACAAATACCTAGTCTGCATGTGTGCTATGGGCTGCACACTGCATGAGGTGCCAGGGCCAGGACCATGGACAGTGCACAGGTTGTGCCCATCACAGGCAGCAGGCTAGGGGAGCCCGAGTGGGGCTGACATGCCCAGCACAGGCTGCACTGGCCCAAAGGAAGGAGAGTCTTTCCTGACTGGGCTGCCCAGGGCGTGCCTCTGCCTCTCACTGAGGCGCTGACCTCCCTGCAGCCCGGCTCTGATCACAGGTCCCCACAGACTAACAGGACCCCCAGGAGCACATGGGCAGTCTGCAGGCTGAAAGTGGCCACAGGTTGTACTTGGCCAGCACAGTGTTTTAAAATTTTTGAATGTGAATCAGGTTTTCCTATGCCACAGTGCCACCACTCATTATTATCTTCTACTCAGGGAATTCATTCACATTAACTCCTGGCCCCTAAGGGCATGTGAGTTTAAGACCCCTGGAAGAAGGCTGCAGGTAGTGATGGAGAAGTGAAGGATGCCAGGGAGAAACTGGGCACAGCACCCAACTTGGACCCCTGAAGGAAGTGTGGTGGACAGAATAATGACCCCCCCGCCCCCAAAGATATCCATGTCTTTCTTAGTCTGTTTGAGCTGCTATACCAAAATGCTATAGACTGTGTGGTTCAAACAACAAAAATTTATTTCTCAGTTCTGGAGACTGGAAGACCAAGATCCAGGTGGCAGATACAGTGTCTGATGAGGGCCCACTTACTTCCTGGCTCATAGACAACCATCTTTTCACTGTGTCCTCACATGGTGGAAGGGATGAGGGAGCTCTCTAGGGTCTCTTATTATAAAGGCACAAATTTCATTCATGGGGGCCCCACCCTCATGACGTCCTTGATTTTCCAAAGCCCACCTCCTAATACCATTGAACTGGGGGGTAGATTTCAACATACGAATTTGGGAGACACAAACATTCAGTCCATAACAATGTCCTAATCCCCAAAACTGAATACGTTATGTGGCAAATTGGGAGCTACGGTTGCAGATGGAGCTGAGTTTGCTAATCAGCTGACTTTAAAGCAGAGAGATTATTCTGGATTATCTGAGTGGGCCCAGGATAATTACAAGGGTCCTTAAAACTGGAATCAAGAGGCAGAAGAAGAGTCCATGTCAGAGTGATGCTGTGTGAGAAAGACTGGACTGGCCATGGCTGACTTTGAAGATGGAGAAAGGGGCCACAAGCCAAGGGATGCAGGTGGCCTCTAGAAACTGGGAAAGGAAAAAAAAAAGCACCAGGTTCTCCCTTAGATCATCCAGAAGAAAACACAGCCCTGCCAACACCTTGATTTTGGTACAGTGAGACCCATCTCACACTTCCAGCTGTAAGATAATAAATTTATGTCGTTTTTAATCCATGAAATTTATAGTCATTTGCTCCAGCAGCAATCAGAAACAAGTGACTTTGAAGCTGAGGTCTGAGAGAGCAATAGCTTTGTTCTGGGAGTGTTTCAGGAGAAGGAAACACACACAGTGTCATTCCTCCACGTCCCCGTTTTACTCTCCTATGCACCGGCATTTGGGTCTGGTTATCGTGGGAATGTGAAGCCTTGGTGGTTCTGGTCTCCACATGGGTACAGGGTGCTAGCCAAGGCTGCCAAAGGAGGCTGAGCCACAAATGAGTTATTAATATTTGGGGATGATGTTGATTAGGCTTTGTACCAGGACCTGTACATGGCATCTTCTGTGGATTATCTTCACAAGCAGCTTTGTGAGACTGGATCTCACAATGGCTGAGTGTCTGGGGCCTGGAACCAGAGTACATGGTTCTCATGGAAACTCTACCTGCTACTAAATACGAATATAAAGCTGTTACTTGACCTCTTGTGCTGCCATTTCTTCATCAGCACAATGGTGATAATCACAGCCCACCATGGGGTTGTTCCGAAGATCGAAAGAGATAGTTCATGAAAAGCACTTAGAAGAGTGTCTGGCACTGAATAGATGCAGGCTATCACTGTCAGGTATGATGGAAAGATCCAAAGGCAACCCCCATCTCCTGGTGGTCACGCCCTCATGCAATCCCCTCCCATGAGAGACTTGCTTCTAACCAATAGAAGATGGCAAAGGTGATGGGTGTGTCTCCCATGATTATGTCACATTATATGAGACTTCATCTTTGCAGGCTGGAGATGGAAGCTCTACTTGCAGGCTTGATGAAGTAAGTGGCCATCTTGGAGAAGCCCACGTGGCCAGCAACTGTAGGTGACATCTAGGAGATGAGAACCACCTCTAACAGACAACCGACAAGCAGCCAGAGCCTTCAGTCCTACAACGGCAAAGAAATGAATTCTGCCAACAATCTGAGTGAGCTTAGAAGCAGAGGCTTCTCCAGTCATGCTTTCAGCTGAGAACACATTTTGCTGACACCTTGA